TTAAGTCATATATATGGATTTAATTATGATATCAGGATGATCCAGGTATCAAAATGTAGCTTTTAAAGACACGAATCTGAAAATGTAATTAGGTCATTTTGACCAAATTTGACTTAATCCTCATTTCGACATGATGGCTCACAAATATCAAGATCTTTTCAGTTGAAAACTGACTCACAAACACACAAATACCTATGAATTTACAAGTGTTGTAATATTCACAGCCCAGTCAGAAAATACCTTAACTGAACAGAAACAGTCTTGATTAATCTGCAGCCAAACGTATTTAGTCACAAACACAAAGTAAAGCACACACAGAGTTTTACATGTTATTTCTCTTTGTATGGCAACACATTATAGAATATAAAAAGTGCTTCAGCAACACTCAGACCTGCACACAACCTTCACTGGAATTAATCTGAGACAGCACTTCTCATTGTGTTAACACAATGGAACGTTACTGTGAAGTGGACTAGTTGTGATAATACAAGGGTGTGGTGTGTGGTGTGTGTTGTGRGCACACAGTTGGTCTGTGAACATTTTGAAACAACRAACGAGGTGAGCAGTGGAAGTGATAACATCTGCTGAACAGCTGTGGGAATTCCCTCAGAAAACCCCAAACATTTTCTCTCTCTCAGCTCACTGTTTGGTGTGTATCTGGACATGGGCTTTGTGTGTGTGTGTCTCACACTGTGTCAGGCTGCACAGTGTAGGTGAAGAGGACACACATCACTGAATCACCTGGTGAAACAACCAGATCAATCTGAAACCTGTAACAACACAACTGAAGGAGGAAAGAACAACAGAACACAACTGTAGCAGGTTTACCATGGCAGCATGCGATGTGCAACACAACACAACACAACACACACTAAGAGTGTGTCAGATGAACAGCTGTGGCCTGTGTGGATGTGACAGGAGCAGAGGCTAAGCGTGATCCAGCAGCCACTGGAACAGAGGGGTGCAGTGAGCCTCCTCTCTGGTTGGGAGGTGCAGCTGGTTCTCCTCACAGTAACGCAGCAGCAGATGCAGCAGATCTCCCACCCTCCACTTCTTCTCTCTGAACTTCTGCAGCACGGCTGGCAGCTGCAGGGACACACACATCACATGTTACACATCTGTAGTTGTTCTGTTAGACTGACACCTACATGTATGTTCACCACATGACTGTATCTGTAGAGAGAAACTAATATTTATCATTTACTGCTTTACTATAAGGTTTAAATACGTAGCAGCCAGACACTACTAATTACCGTATTTATTCATGTATAATACGATCTCATGTATAATATGATCTCATGTATAATACGACCTCATGTATATGATCTTATGTATATCT